AAAAGTAATTATCTGACTCCACACTGATAAAGTAATGACATAACTCGTGAATAACAAAAGGATTAACATGACTTGTCAGTAGACTGACTACACACTGATAAAGTATTGACATACCTTGTGAATGACAAAAGGAGTGATATGATTTGTCACTAGATTGACTACACTGATAAAGCAGGACTGACATGACTTGTCACTAGACTGACTACACTAACAAAGCAATTAAATGAGTTCACAATGAAAAAGTAAATACATAACAATTCAAATACAAATGACCGACATTACTTGACACTACACTGGTTAGAAAGTCTTGCTATCTCACTAATGAGCAAATGCAGACTTTGTTAAGCTTCAGCAGACATATAATCATCTGACATGTATTGTGCATTGGTTTTGCTCAATTGGTGTCAACTCTCAGCCATGTGCAGTTCACATCATGTCTTTTGCTTGTTGGAGCATATAATAGTGAGACCTATGAACCAGAATTCTATTATTCTCTCTTTGAACTTGTTTTACTGTTGATTCGTAGTCCTCTCTATTTCGGTGTTGCATTGTTAGTGATCGTCTACGAGACACTGGTATGCCAAGTTTTCTTAATTGTGTAAATAGTTTGTTTGATTCTTTAGCACGAAAAGTCCACTCTCGTCGTACCCCTGCATAATATTTTTTTGGATCAAAAAATCTCTCATTCTTGTAATCATCGTTCCGCTCTTGTAACAATCAAACTCGTTCATGTTTGTGATTGTTAAAGCTCATAAAGAAATTTGATGTAGACATAATGTTGTGTTTGTCATATGAACAGCTAAATGGTGTTTAAATAGTAGTGTCCCAAGCCTACTGTGTTAGACAGGTCATATCAGTCAATAGTAAAACAGTGTACTGATCAAAGGTCATATATGGTATAGTTATTCATCAAACTAGTGTAAGGTCATTTCAGTCTTTCCCCTTATCAAATGTGTGTTGTCACTTCAACACATGGTATGTAGAAACCCATTCAAGGTTAAGCTAGTTCAGCACATAGTATGTTGAAACCCATTCAGGGTTTTGTCACTTCACCACTTGGTCTGCTGAAATCCATTCAGAGTGTAGTCACTTCAACACATGATATTAAGTAGTCACGAGTAGCAATTTTTTCTTCTTCAACATTATGACAGAGCAATTAGTTGTCACTTCAAGACAATGTTTGTATTGATATGGTCAGTTATTGAAATATTTGTGTATTCACTATATATTTACTGTTTTAAGCAAGTAAGTCAAGAAAATTTATTTCCAACATGAATTATGGTGTTAGAACTTGATATGAAAATATGGGTTATCATTGGGCCTTAGAAGATGAGTGCTTTTATCCAATGAATCCTCGTTTACATTATTCTAGCAAGGCCATAAGAACCATGAAGGTCAAATTGTAATATCGTTTGACGGAGTGAGAAAATCTTTTTGGAGATATGCAAACTGCAATTTACGAAAGCCTCGACAAATTTTCATCCATATGCCATTTGAGACACCTCAACAACTAGAGCGAGCATTGTAGCATTTTCGAGCTGAGAACAATCGCTTGGCAATCTGTCTTAATCGTTACAATCTTCGCTGCATCACACGAGAACGTGTTAAAGAAGGGTTAATGGAAGAAGCACGTATAAGTTTCCTTCTAAGTGGAGAAGTTGGATGTATTTCTAATATCGAGATGTCCGACAAAGATGTTGACCCATGAAACATGTTGTGTGGAGAACTGTGATGTTAGTGTTGTGTGGTGAACTATGATGTTAGTGTTGTGTGATAAACTATTTAGTCGGTATTGTTTGGACAAGTGTTAAGTTAGTGTTGTGTTGTGTGGACAAGTGTTATATAAGTGATGTGAGAACAAGTGTTATGTTAGTGTTTGTGAGTAAAAATATTATTTTACTATTGTGTGAAGAAGTTGTATGTTAGTGTTGTTTTCTCCAGATCATGTTATTGTTGTGTTGATTTTTACATGTGAAATGTAATATACTTGTAATGTTAAAGTGAGTTAGATTTGTTGTGTACAAGATTGATTATGTATGTGACAACTTGATTGAATAATATTATAGCAAAACATGATTGTGTAAGTGACAATCTATGTACAAAAGAAAATATTTGTACAATGTAGAACAAAAAAAAGGCAACAAATACATGAACATCATGTCCCTCACGTAGGTGGTCGCGTACGTCGCTTCAGCTGTCTACGAACCTTCTCTCAGCACCCTTTGGTACAACCTGTGTCACCTGTGACACACTAACATCATCGTGATGATGTGCATGCTATGCACGCCCCCTCCTTCGCCCTCATCCCCGACCTTGTCATCCACCTCTAACCCGCGGCCCGACTCGCACAAAGCCTACACCTATAACTGTAGGATCCTGTGTCACACTCTCCTCATCTAACAATGGATCTGATATGGGAGGCTGTCCAAATGAGGTAGGTATCGAAGCAACTACGGTCGGTGTCGGGGTAGATGTCGTTGCCAGTGCAGGTGTTGGTGTTTGCTCAAGTGCAGATGTCGGAGCTGGTGTCGGTGTCGGTGTCGGTGTCTGTGTTGGGGTAGATGTCAGGGTCGATGTCGATGTCGATGCGGGGGTCAATGTGGGTGCATGTGTTGCTACCAGCGCCGATGTCGATGTATGATCAAGTGCAGATGTTGGTGCCAGTCCCGGTGTTGGGGTAGATGTCAGGGTCGGTATCGTTGTCGATGTCATGGTCAATATGGATGCATGTGCCGCTGCAAATGTCAGTGTATGCTCAAGTACAGATGCAAATGTCGGTGCCGATGTTGGTGGCAATGTTAATGTAGGCGCATCTGTGGGAGTCGGTGCATGAGCCAGTGCCGGTGTTGATGGTGATGTAGTTACCGCTGTTGGTGTCAATGTCGGCGCCGCTGTTGGTGTCGCTGGTTGGTGAGGGTGCTTGAGCCTGTGCCGATGTTGATGGTGAAAATAATGGAGTAGTCTAATTGTGGTAAAGATGAGATGGTGGCTGTGCAAATGTAGACAGTACGTCATCTGCTGACATTGAAGCTGTGTCAAGTCGTCGGTGCTTTCGGAGAGATGTCAAACATGAGGAGCTCATATTTGTAATACGACCAATAGTGTTCATGCAATGTGTCAAGTCCGGACTGCCCTCATATGTACCACGTGCAGTGTGATATATCTGTGTAAGTGTCTCTTCCTATAAAAAATATTTCAACAAATTAGTAAATGTATTAAACAATTAGTAACATTTGTCCTTCAAATTGAATAGTAAAGCATTTAACATCTTACCAAAAGCTCTATGATGCTCCCAACAGGCTGAAAATCGACAGTCGGCCTAGTGATGAGTGGACCAACAAGACACTATGTGATGCGACGATACCATTGCACGTATGCGTCAGTCAGATCCATCAATGCAGCACTCAGATCTCCGGTAATAATAGTATCTCTACGATGTGCCCACATCTCCATGTAGATTTGATGAACTACAGACCAATCCCAACCAGATCTACCTCGACGGTTGACAGCATGCATGACCCGGCTGGTATCACATGGCTGTGGTATGCGCTGAATCAGGCCAAACTGTCGAGTAATTCGATGAAAAATGCCACTCCACGACATCGAAACAAATCAATGGGGCTTGTGTGCGTCAAATATCTTACCCAATAAAGCAATAATCTGGCAGGCCACCCATTACATCAGCTGTATACGGCTCTCATATCATCTATAATACAAATTGTGAGCACTCATTAATAAATGTAAAGGTATTTTTAAAAACAATTGGGCACAGTTTCCTTTGAAGTTGGGCATTTTCAAATTTTTTTAACTTGTATACAACACACCCAACTGAATGACAAGTATAAACAAATAAAAATAATATCCCACCATCTTGACATTCACTTACTTTACATGTATATTCAATGCAATCAACCCAACACACTAACAAACTTTAACATCCGAGTTCGTCAGATATGGTCAAGCTGATATACCTGATCTTCGTGCATCTGGTTCAGCTGGTCCTAATAATGACGTAATACATGTCAGGGTATGTGCTATTCCGAAAATGTGACATTCCATATATACATTTTAACAAATTTTTAAATACATAATAATATGTAAAATATTTAATTGCGTGCATTGTATATTTAGTACAAACATACAATCAAGTGGACCATCATGTACACTGTGCGCATCAATCTCATCATGTGCAAGACCCAAATCTACACTGACTCCATCTAACGCTGCACCATCCACATCAAGCGCCACTACACCATGGGCGACCTGCTGTTGTGGTAACACATGCTGTGGAACAATGTGTACCAAACGCTCCTATGCCCACAACTACATACACAATACATTGATTTTACATATGTATAGTTACAAGAACATAAAAGTAAGCAACTAAGTGAAGAATGCAAACAATTACCTGAAGCAGAATAAGTGGACCACTAATATCCTTCGGGTCCCGCTTAGTTGGGGGACACATCTCCCGATATAACCATGATAGGGCTACACTATCCCAACTAAAAGTGTCGGTCACATGTAAGTCTTTGAGCAATGGTAAGAATATATGCTTCACCCTACTCGACGACTTGTCGTCAAACAAAAACCCCCCAATCAATAGAAAGATGAACGATCGGGCGTAACATGCTATAAAGGGAATAGATAGCCTGATAAAATTGACCAAAAAAAAAATTCATAAAAAATAAGTTTTAATAACAGACTTAAGTCTAAATAAATCCATAAATAGGGGATTGCCTCCAAATTTCTCTATTTCTTATTTCTTATTTCTTATTTCTTATTTCTTATTTCATATTTCATATTTCAATACACAGGACGGTGGGCCGAATTGCCAGCTTACCCACTGGGCCACCTCAGCGGGCCTTCTTGTTTTCCGTGCCTAAGTCTCATAGGTTCCTCCGTCTAAATTCGCAAACGCATCCGAAAGGCAGTCAACCAAATCAACCACCTCCTCTCAACTCACTGCATATATCCTCTCTCTCTCTCTCTCTCTCTCTAACACACACACACACACACACACAAGTTCCAGCAATGGCAGCCGCAACAGCCTCTTTCACCCTCTCCAGACTCCTCATTTCCCCCAAGCCCCTCTCTCTCTCCTCCTCTTTCCCCCGAACCCATTCTTGTGCACTCACCTCATCCTCCTCTTTCTCTCTCCTCCCACTCAAACTCCATTCACGCCACCCCTACCACAACCCAAAATCCCTCAAATACTCCGCCACCACCACCACCATTCCGAAAATCTCCGCCACCATCTCCGTCGGCGACAAACTACCTGAATCCACCCTCTCCTACTTGGATTCCGCCGATGAACTCCAAACCATCACCGTCTCCGACCTCACCAAGAAAAAGAAAGCCATCCTCTTCGCCGTTCCGGGGGCTTTCACACCCACTTGCTCCCAAAAACACCTCCCAGGTTTCGTGGAAAAAGCAGCCGAGCTCAAGTCCAAAGGGGTTGACACAATCGCTTGCATTTCTGTGAACGATGCCTTTGTGATGAAGGCGTGGAAGGCGGATTTGAAGATTGACGATGAGGTATTGATGTTGAGTGATGGAAATGGGGATTTTACGAAAGCTATTGGTTGTGAACTGGATTTGAGTGATAAGCCTGTGGGATTGGGTGTGAGGTCCAGGAGGTATGCTATGTTGGTGGAAGATGGGGTTGTGAAGGTGTTGAATTTGGAGGAGGGTGGTGCTTTTACGTTTAGTGGTGCTGAAGATATGCTCAAAGCCCTGTAATTTTCATGGTACAGTGAGATGGATGGCTATTTTGATTAATAAATGTACGGATGGAACATGAGCATGGAGTTCTGAATTTAAGCAATTAGATTTATGGTTTTGTTAATCAATGTGTTTTATGATGTATGAATGTGTGTAATTAGTGTCGGAGAGAAAATATCATTTGGGGAATAATGGCGTCCGGTGTATGTTAAACCTTCATTTTCTCAAGGTAAACCTTTTCACGGATAAATCCTTTGGTTCGCGAACAAAACCAAATGAGTTTTATGGTACAGTATGTGCGAGAGGCAAGGTCTTAAGGTATGGTCTTAAGGCTTTATAAATGCGACCTAATAAACTCCAATTTAGTGTTTCTGATGTATTGTTCAATTGTTACAATGCCTTGAGAATTCTTGCTTTTGTCTGGTTGCTTGACTGGAATGCCTAGAACTTAGAATTCTTTTATGTGGTGAAAATTTTTGAACATGCATATGAAACATAAAATGGGATGAGGATCTGGGTGACTGGTGCGTCTCTTGGTTAAGAGTTTCTGCAATTAGCTCAATGTTTTATTGCTTATAATGGAAACTGAGAACTGGTAATTGTTATCCCACGGTCACCGTTTATTTATGTGGTAATAAATTGGTCCACCCAATGTATCTTCCTGGAAATGTAGTTATTGAAATAACTACATGCTTTTTAGTTTGATTCCTCTTGAGAATCTAGGTCCATTCTAAGGTCTTTACACTCTTGAGTTCGATGTTTTGCTATCAAATCAAAAGGGGGCTGTGACTATTTTTGATATTCCGGTGGTACTATTGCTGCAGTTTCTAATGTTTTTAAGTGTGTTGGGGTGTGTATGTGCGGGCAATGTTTGAGACGATATTTCTACGCTGTTTTTAGTTTGTGTATGGTGAGTGTTGAGATTCCAGGAAATTTCTTTCATTTGTTTTGTTCACATTAGACTTCTTGGTTGAATTTCCTCTGGAAAAATTTCTTTCGTACGGATTAGGTCGTGCACCATGTGGGATTGTTTTTTTTCATATGGTTTGTGATTGCGTTCTTAAACCACAGGAATCCTGATTGCAAAGATGATTCTGTGACTTTGCCTCATATTTAGAACCTGAATTGTTGGAGTTTGCTTAGCACATGCTAGATTGAGGATGCGTGTTTTGTAAATCAATGTCTGTGTTGTGTGTATCTGCATGTGAGAGGATGATATGGTTTCAGAAATATGTTTGGGAAGATGAATTGTCTTTATGACTTGAACTACATTTATGCTTTGCTTATTTCCGATTGCTAATTACAAGTTAGCCGTATGTATGGTTATTGATGAGCCAAACTTAAGGGTCAACTCATGTTACAAGTCCAAGGACCCAACTCCAAGAGGTTCAGCTAGCTAAGCCCAAAGAAATTTGTATCCGATTAAGTTCATCAGATTCCACGAGTTACATCAGTAGTAGAGGAGCATGCAAGGCCATCTGCAAGCGCCCAACTCTCCTTCGCAGACGCCCAGCTCTCCACCTTAGGCGCCCAGCCTTCCTCCTCTACCACCTTGGAGCATGCAGAGTCATTCAAGAGCCTTATCCTCTTCCCTTTTGAAGGAGTCAACACTCACGCGTCATCATTTGACCGAATCTTAGGGAGAGCACCGCAACTGTCTAACCCGTTGAGGAGAAGTCGTGAGCTCCACTAAAATAGTTATGTAGTTGTTAATACCTCGCCCAAATCTGTTAAGAAGGCGATTATAAATTGTAAATCCAACCAACACTTGGGGGTAGGATCACACTCCTACCTGAACACGTCTCTCTTCTCCCTCTCAAAGCTTGTATTCTCTCCTCTTGTTACCCTTGAGCTAATAAAAATACCCGACGACCAAAGACATTTAAGAGTGGACGTAGATCACGTTGACCAAACTACTATAAATCTTGTCTCATCCATCTCTCTTTATTTTAAATTATTGCATTTATTTTCAATCACTTGACAGGTGGTGCATAAAATTATTTTGTGTATCATCAATTATTTCTATTTTGCAGTTGAAAATCTTGTGAATGTAAATCTCAAATGGGAATAGATTGGTGGCATACATAGGGGATAAGACTTTCTTAAGTTGGCACAACTGTAGGTATTAAATTGGGGTTGGTAATCGCATGGCCATCATATGTTGTTGTAATAAGTTGGTCAACGTGATGTGACCTGAAAGTTTAATCATCTGGTTAATGTTATATTTGAATTTGATTCGAATCGAAACGTTGAATCCTTTTCTAAGTGGTGTTCTTAGTCCTCAGTGCCATTTCAAAGCTGTTATGATTCGTTAATCTATTCTATATCTAATCCATTTTCTTGTCTGAAGGAAGAACTAATACCTTGAGCAAATCTTTCAATCCCACTTAACCGTTGGTGTTCTTTGTTTGTAGAATATGTAAATGTAACAGAAACTAACAACTTTGGAATTGACCGAGGATTGACGTATAACATTATGAAACAATGAAATCAAAATTCTTGTGTGAAGATCAATGATGGGACTTTTCTGAAATACCCTATGATGAAGACACGTGTCCTCGGTTTTACTAAAACACTGTTGTTAAGATCAAGCATCATCGGCGCACGAATGTCCTCGCCCCCGAGGTACCGTCATATAGGATCATACATTCAGTATATTTTACAACCGACACGTGTCCTCGGTCAGATATGTACCTCGGTCGGCAACCTCCCTCGGTCCCTGAGATGAGCCTTTCCTCGGTGCCGAAAGGTACCCGTCCTGGACACTTCCTCTACTCCAGGATAAGCTATTGACGTGCAGGTCATTAGCCTAGGCTATTCATCATGACCTCGTCTTACACAAGTAATGTCAGAACGTACTGGAATACAGAGGTCACAGCCAATAGGGGATGGACACGTGGCGTATGATATCACATCGAAGACAGACAAACCGCATGCCGTTGCTGACACGCGACTTGGGAAAGCAAACAATTAATTGCACCATTCCCTTGATGAGACCGCATTCAATGCGGTAAGGTTCAGAAATGAAAGACAATAAATGCTCCTAATACAGGGCATTTATTGCATCCTCCCCGAGAGGAGCACATTGTACCGTCGGCATCCCGATGACCCAGCATTGATTGCTCGGTACCCCGAGCAGTTAATTAGAGAAGACATTCCTCATCAGAATCAATGCTCACGCTACCTGTGCCTAATGATCACCTACTGACCACACTGACAGCAATCATGAGCTTTTAAGGTATAAATACTCCTTGCAAAAGGCAAAGCGGGTATGCAACAACGAACTCTCTTCTACAATACATTCTCAGTGTTTTCTCCTTCCTCTCTCTTTCTCAAAGACTGACTAGATCGTCGGAGGGGATACGCCAGAAAACACTCCGGCGCCCTTCTAACTTGTTCTTCTTTGTTCCAGGAACCTCTTTCATCCTTACTGGATCATTCTTCCGTTCCCAGGATCTCCCATTGTCGTTCCAGGTTGCCACCGTACCATGCGGGCTGTCCCAAGCAGCGTGTTTGGTCACTCAACGGGCTCACTCGAAGTTCACCAAGGGAGAGATATGTTCTCATTTTTTATATTGTGCAGGATCTTGCACGCACAATCTGGCGCCATCTGTCGGAAACGACTAATTTTCCTAGTCTTTTCTCTCTAAAGAACAGTGACCATGGTGAACACTCGACAGAAAGGGAAAGGACCCCACCAAAGGAGTCTCGAGTTACAAGCTCCCTGTCATCACGGAGGGAGGGATCACACCAACACGAATAAAAGTGCCTCTACTCGGTCAAGAGGGGTTACCCCTCAAACCAGTATGGGGATCAGGTCAGGGGGACCAGCCCCCTTGGCTCGTCAGCTGGCGGAGGTGATCGAAGAAAAATTTGGTGATAGGTTACGTCAGCTGGAAAAGGACAATGTAAACGTCCTAAGCCGGCTCGACGAGTTTGCCGCCTCTGGCGGGGGGTCTAGGGATTCATTCCTTTCCCGTGGGCTTCCCGCCCGGGAGGAGGAAACGAAGGACCTAAGAAACCATCTAAACAACAAAGCAGAAAGCTCTAGGCCCCAAAACGACCTAGAGCCGGCGAACATCATCATGACAACCTTTCAAGGAAAGCAAGGCCATTGGCCCTGGACGACCTCCGGCGAGGTTTGTCTAGACGGAGGAAGGGAGATGAATCCGAGGAGGACTCAACCCAATCCACACGACGCCCGGAAATGAGGGGCTTACCGATGAACCCAAGGACTTCAGAAGGCATCCCGTCAGGGAAGAAGTTGATCTCAGAACCCGATTGGATTCCAGGAGGAAGGGTAAGGCTGTCCAGGATGAGACCGAGGACGAGGCCATACAAACACCCTTTACGAGGGAGATCAGTGAAATGGAGGTCTCAAGAAAGTTTGTCGTGCCGCGGTTCAAAACCTATGACGGGCGGTCCGACCCCGAAGCCCATATCAGGCAATACAAGCAGATGATGTCCCTCTATCATTCGGACCAACGGTTTCTCTGCCGAGTGTTCCCTATGAGCTTGGGGGACTCTGCGATGAAATGGTTCGAGACGCTTCCCCCAAACAGTATTGGGTCCTGGAAGGAATTGACTAGGCAGTTCCTGGCTCGATTCATTACGGGGAGTAAGCGCCCCAAAGACATTGGATCATTGTTGACCCTCAGACGGAGGGAATCCGAGACTCTTCGCCAGTACGCCATCCGATACTGGGAAGAGGTCAATGAGGTAGAAGGCTGCTCGGAGGTCATGGCAGCGGCATCTTTCCGGCTCGGCTTGGCGAGGGACACGGACCTGTACCGATCCCTGACCAAGAAGACTCCCTCGGATATGGGGGAACTGATGGCCCGGATCAACAAGTACTCGAGGGTTGAGGACGAGATGGGAAGCAACAAAGGCCGAGCCCTCCAATCTAAGAGAAAGGAGAAGGAGCGCGAAGATATTCCCCGAAAGGGATTGCTACCCCATCCAGGGGGTTCGTCCAGAGGAGTTCACACTGTTTTCAAGGAACCCATCTTCAAGTTGCTCCATAAAATCAAGCACGAGCCGTTCTTCAAATGGCCGCCCAGGATGCAGGGCGACCCCTCCACCCGTGATCAAAAGGTTAAGTGTTCCTATCACCGGGATTTCGGGCATCGCACCGAAAGCTGTAGGGTGTTCAAATCGTTCTTGGAAAGCTTGGTCCGAGACGGACATTTGAAAGAGTACATAGAGCCCAGGCCAGAAGAGAGACGAGCCCTTGCCCCGACCGAGGAACCGGACAACATCATAGACGTCATCCATATATGTCCCCTGGATCGCCCCACGTCCAGGGAACTCGAGTCCGACCTCAAGAGGGTAGCCTTTACGAGGAAGGTAGCCGAGGGTGATGTAGGGCCATCGAGTAAAAGGGCCAGGACGGGTGAGCTTGCCATTACATTCTCCGACGCGGATTTGACAGGCGTAGTGACCCCCCATAACGACGCCCTTGTCTTGACCCTAAGAATAGGAAAATT